TTGCAGATTTCGAATAAGAATACACTATTCATCAATCGGAAACGCTTATCGAACGATCACTGAATTTCTGGAGATTCCAAAGTCTACCTTCATCGTAATGTCATTGATAACACATTTAATGAGGTTGCTTCCTATTTTTCAGAAAAGGCTAATTAGAGCTATAAACAACTGTAATATTAATTTTCTCAAGCATCATGAGTTCATTGTCACAGTTATCAATGAATTTTTGATAGGGTTTCGCAGACTGCTGTTCAAATGTTTTCTCATCGTTTTATATATGCTTTCTGAATTCATAGTGTACTGAAATTTCACAGATTTATTTTACGCTTAGAATAAAGTCCTCCATCTTTTGGCTTCTAAGTCTGTAAATCATGTAACTTAGTGCGCATCTCACCCTCTATTTGATCAATCTTAGCATAATGTCGTTCACAATCAATTCACTGCATTAGTCAGCACTGAAATACGTTTTTGACGTATACAAATTGGTAAGAGATTGCAAGAGAAAACTTGAACGTGTGCAATGTGAAATGTGAATAGATAGTCAATAGGCGGATTAACGTTTTCAACATCCGGTCGACTGGATTATGTCATTATGCATTTGAAATCATCAATCAATCAATGTAATACCACCTTTAGACACCTAAGAGCACTGGACGTCCGTATCACCCTGGTATGGGACTTAGCAGCAGTGCGCATCCACGACTCCTGCAACCCACATGATTCGAACCCGGCACCTTCAGTCTTGCGAGCAAATGCGCTACCTCATCAATTTGTTTTCGGGAGTTACCGCCTACAACCCACAGGGTAAAACTCCACCTGTCATGTCGTCTCCCTAGAACTCCGAGAATTTCCTCACAAAGTTAGGTAGTAGCAAGTACATTATATACTGTCTTCCTTACAATATTCAAACGAATTCGTTTTGATCATATGAATCTGTTAATAGACGAGTACTTGCTCACAAATTACGTCGGCAAAATCGAAATATTTTATTTAATGTCTCTAATGAGATAGATTACAATTCACTCTGTACAGTCAATCATAATTTCCTAATTCTCTGTCAGTACTATTGACATATTTCGATATTATCCATAATGAAACTCGAATATTGAAATTTCGCTTACGATGTGGAAATATTAACTCAAAAGAACAACTTCGATTAGGCAATCAACAAATAGTTTATTTACATTTCATTACAGAATAACTGACCAAGTGAAATGTACAATAGTCAGTAGTAGTAGAAGAAGAAGGAGGAGAAGAACAGAAACATTTGTAAATTACATGAAGTGTACTAATAGATGTACAATTGTTTAACGATGTAAGATTCAGAAGAATGGAAGAAGAAAATAGTTTGAAAGAGTCACACATGTACATGTTGGGTTCACCTAAATTGTTCAAACTAGGTTACTAAAATCATAAATTCAGTAAACTACTCTCTGATATCTAACATTCGATTAAGTGATATTTAATAACGAATTTATTCAACATGGAATATAAACATACTCAGTGATTACAAACACAAATATTTGGTGAATGTTAGACGAATCGCAATATGAACTGGAATATGTTCTCACAATAAAATAACTCTTACTTTATCCGATCAATTAGATGTATTCAAGCTTTTCAGTCTGTATTTCAATCACAAACACATACACACACCTACTCAGATCTCGAGTAGACTCTGTTACAGAAATTCTTTCACCTCGAAACCACACTTACCATCAACTGTTGCATGAACGATTGACGAAAACTTTACGTAATCAGCTCACATCCATCGACCTAAATTATCTTTAAACTTTGCCTTCATCAATGATAACTGCATAGTGCTATAAGGTGTGCACTGTTGCAGTTTACAGAGTGAACAATACGCGTACACTTAATGACATGAAAATAGTTACACTGACTACAATTATTAATATTCGAAATACTCATCATTATCACTGTAAACATGGTTTGAACTTACTACAACACACTCTTCTTCCTGTCATGATGTTGCTTGAATTGATGCTCATGGTAAAGTTTCCAATAGGCACAGAATACAGATTGCAGACATCCGGTTTCTCCTGTGATTAGAGGAAATTCAAAATTTAAGTTACAGCTTGAATTCATTTTGAAATTACTTCATTATTCAAGTTAACTGAAGAAAGATAGGTTGACTGGATGTATCATGATTGCTGGTGGTGTTGAAACGTTGTCGAACGTACACTCGGATGGACACAGAGCAAAGTCATTATGGAAAACGGAAAAAAAAAAAAAAATAAAAAAAAAATGTAAAAAAAAAAAAAGGGATGTGGGGAGAAGGTGGGGAGACAGGGGTGGATGTGTGGTGGGGGGGAGGGGGGTGGGGGGGTGGGGGGGGAAGAGGGGAGGGGGGGGGGGGGGGAGGGGTGTGAGGTAGGGTGGGGGTGGGGGGGGGGGGGTTGGGGGTGGGGGGGGGGGTGGGTTGGGTGGGGGGGGGGGGGTTTGGTGAAGCCGTTGGGTGTTGGGGTGTGGTGGTTTTGGTTGGTTGGTGTGGGTGTTTGTTGTGGTGTTTTATGTTGTTTTGTGTGGTGGGGGGTGTTGTGTGGGTAGGTTAGGTAAGAGTTAGAGTTTTCTTCCTGCTCGAGGAGATGATGTGGTCATAACACCCACAGTGTACCTTTTATTCGCATATGAGACACAGCGGGTGCAGGTAGTTTGAGTTTTTAATGATGGATAAAATGATGCTTGCACGTAAAACAACAACATGATAAACAAGGTCAACTCTTTTGTAATGACTTGAACTAAGTACGAGAATTACGAGTGTTTTTAAAAATAGAGACATTTTTATCCTAGTATAAAAATTAATAAATAAACATAAAATTTAAAAACCATAAAAAAAAATTATAAAATATAAACTTTAACCTAAATTCCAAAACATAACACAATGTAATACTAAAAAAACTACAAAAACAAAACATGATAGAAGTAACGAGTTTGAAAACTAAAATATGAGAAACAAAAACATATTTTAATGATATACACCAATTAGTCCCGAAAAAATGAGAGCGAAACCGAGGTCGAGGTATCCTCTGGGTGACATCCAAGGGACATCAAAAACATGCTAAATATACTTTTCATGTCCTACTGCTATGACTAGTAATATATAAGCTAAGTAACACTATGCTAATAAAATGGAAGTAAATGAGATTATTACCCAATATTCCCATATTGAGTAAAAAAAATATAAGGAGAACTTTAAATGGTATAGTAGAAACCGTATTCCTAACAAACGCATAACAAAAGTATAACGGGAGGAGGGGAAGGGGCTCTGATACGAGTTCCAGAAGAGAATAAGGATACCCACGAGAAACACACAAGGGATCCGGGCGGTGAACAGGGCCGACGTGGTCCTGCAGACCCCGGGGTCCCTCAGCCAAACCACGGACCCCGGGTTCACCTGGTCCTGCGTCATAGACGATTCCAGAAAGAATGCGTAGTTTTTATACACATTTTTTTAGTTAGTCGAAAATAGGAAAAAAAAGTCAAGAAGTCTGTGAAACGAAAAAAAGGTGACAGTTGAGATGACCAATAGGAAGCGACATTTAGAGTGACATTGATAGTCAGGACGACCAATGAGAAACAACATTGGAGCACGTGACACTGATATCTAGGACGACCATAAAAATGACCAGTAGGAATTAACCAATAGGAATTGACCAATAATTCTCTTAGGATATTGCAGTAGACAAAGAGGGGCCTCCATGTGGAGAAAGACCAGGAAACACATTACATTGAAGAAATGCTGTCAGACATGAGAAGAATGAACAACCTATTTGACATAACTACAAAAGAAAACCTTTAAGACACAGCATGTTGGACAATGCTGGTCGGCAGCCTATTCTATACTGGGAGTAATAGACGTAAGTTAAGTAAGTAAATATAAGATTTAAACGAAAAATGAAAGTAAATACTAATTTAAAGAACTAAATTTTATGATGTGATGCAGTGTGATTTTTTATTGTACATAAACTGCGTCTGTTCAAGACCGAAATACAGTGAAGGCTAGTGTTTAAATTTCCGACCTTGAAAGCAAAGTAGAGAGACGCTAGAAAATTGTGAATGAGTGAAAACTAAACAATGGACTTAATATTATATTATTAGTGCTGAAATGTATTTTGGACTAGTTGAATTTAGCTTTACAAACAAATCTGCGCATAAGCTTCACTAACATTTCAATGAAATGGTATTATGATAGGGCCACTGGAGGACGATATATATATATGGATAACCCAATCAGCCAGCTACGACGTAGAACATGGTCAACACGAACATCAGTTCAATTTGCCATAACACGTCAACACAGAGATGTGATTGTCAAACAACATCGTTCGTCGGAACAGTCGGTGATCGGGCATACATAATATATGTACCAAACATCTTAACTGATGCAGAGTCATTACTTCATCAACTGATCTACCATTCTTATCTAATACTCGTTTCCTAATACAAGCTTTGCTTACTAACTCCGCCTGCAGCACCTCTAGGGCTACTGGCGATCCAAAGGCCCGGATAAAGAAAGGTTGGGCATGGGGTTGGCGGCCCCCCATTCCATCGACAATCAATGTGGATGTGATGCAGATATGACGGCACGGATCGGCAAAGCAAGCGTTGCATTTCTACAACTGAACTACATCTGGAACTTAAAACAACTGTCAACAAACACCAAAATCAGAATATTCAATACAAATGTCAAGAAAATTCTACTGCATGCAGCGGAAACTTGGAGAACTATGAAAGCCAACATCCAAATGATACAAGTATTCATTAGCAGTTGTCAACGCAAAATACTCCTAATCATACTTATGTCCCGCAGCTTGTACGACTGACATGGATGTTGATTGGTTGTTAATGACCTTAAACTTGTCGTTGTCTGTTAAAGACTACTTTAAATTGAATAATTTAAAAAAAAACTTTAATGCTATTGAAATAAACGTATAATCATTAAAAAAAAATCATTAACTGAAAAATAATAATAAACTTACTCATTGCAGACATAAATGAATCATGTAATTGAAATGTCATAATTGGCATTTCTAATTGTCGAATAAAATATTTCAATGCACCAGTTAAAACACATAATTCAACACTCAATAATGCCGTTTTTGATATACCCGTTGGAGCTTGTGAACAAATAAAATAAAATTCAATAATTGATGAAGTCACATGACATAGTGACGAAACAATTAACTATAAATAAAAAATATATATATGTTACGCCTGCGCGTAAACACGTCAACTTGATATACTTGAACTATGACGAGTTTACCTTAGTCGGAAAACGAGAGCCAGGATCAAGGATCCGGTGACACGAAATGCTACTCCGAATCCGATTATCCCAACCCGCATATTGAGTGAAAATAAGAAGACAAGACCTGATATGAAGTAGAACATGTATTCTACAAGCATTCAAAAAGTACGAGGTCCGAATCCAGAAGAGAATCAGGATCCCGGACTATGGGATCCGGGACCGAGCCCTGGTCCTGGTCATAAAACGTTACACATAATGCGTATTTATACATTTTGGTCGAATGGGAAACAACATCGAAATCTGTGACATTGACAGTTAATAAGACCAATAGGAAGTAACATTTGAAGTGGCATTGAAATTCAGGATGACCAATAAGAAACAACATTGGAGCACGTGACATTGATATTTAGGACGACCATAAAACTGACCAG